AACAAAGTCTCTCTGCCTCTAGTTTCATTCTTCTCTAATCTGATGAGTAAATCTGACTGTCTTTTTCCTGCTTAAGATCCTCCAATTGTGGGGCACCTGGGTGGCTCAGTCATTAAGCATCTGCCTTCGGCTCAGGTTATGATCCCAGGGTCCTGGGATCGAGCCCCGCATCGGGCTCCCTGCTCCCCGGGAAGCCTGCTTCTCCCTCTCCCACTCCCCCTGCTTGTGTTCCCTCTCTCACTGTGTCTCTGTCAAATAAATAAAACCTTAAAAAAAAAAAAAAAAGATCCTCCAATTGTAGTTTGGCACATATATCCCTTCGTGCTCTGATATCTGCTTACCTCTCTAGACAAAGCAACTCTCCTAGAATGTCCTGCTTGTATGTGCTATGCTCTCTGCCTTAGGAATACCCTTCCCAAACCTCCCACTGCACATGTCCTTTTATCCATATCCCCTGGAGTTATGTATGATCTATTTGTTCTTAAAAACTTTGTTTCATCATTCCCTTGCCTAATCCAGTGACCTTCCTCACTACCCCACTATACCTTGTGTACATGTCCGTAACAGCAATTATTACTCTTTATTATATGCTTGCTTACTTATTTGCTTCTGCCAGTAAAGATTAAGGTCTTAGAGATTAGTTAGCTTAGATTACTGTTATTTTTGGTCCCTAACAGTCCACGGAACCAAGTATGCTTAATACAGAATTGCTGGGACAGTAAATCTCTAAATTTTAGCAAGAAGGAAGAACAGAATCCACTGTCTTCTATTATATACGTAGGTTTCTTAAATGCATCAGCTGAAGTCTAAGACATTACTCTGCTACGTCATGACTGGAGAGAGTAACAAAAATCATTCATAGATGGGCACAGATATTTTTATTGTCTATAATAACCTCTAATATTATTGTTTACTGTGTGTCTGGTGCATACATGTACCTTCCCCATTGAGCCTCACAACCTTGAGGTAGGTAGTAGTTTCTTCACCTCTTTTTATAGGTTTATAGGCAGAGGCAAGGCACAGAGAAGTTAAGCATCTCGCCCAATGTCAAAGAGATAGCAAAACCAGGCAGTCTGGCTCCAGAACTGTGTTCTTAACCACTCTGCTACAAAGCTCAATACCTCTTACATTATGAAAACTGCACTTCAAAAGATTACTCCTCTTTTTAAAACATAAATGTAATATTACCAAATACAATCTAAACTTTAAAAGTTATGATTACACATTGACAGACCATCCCTCCCCAAAACTTAATAGCTCTACTACAATCATATTTCAATTAAAAAATTTACAAATAGGTTTCACATTAGAAATTTCAAAGTACATTTTTACTTCTGGTTATGGTAATGAAAACCTCTTTGTTCACTACCACCATAGTTGTTTCTCAAGCTATTTTAGACGTTTAACTTAATGGGTGTACAAAAATAGATAAAGAAACTGTGACATCAGTTAATTCATGGTAACCTTTCAGCAATCAGATAATTGTTGTATTGTAATATACTGTCAACTTCTAGACATTACAGCAGATATGACAAATTTCCTCGAAAACATTCTATTTTCTATTTCTAAATAACAGGATAATTTGGCAAGATCATTTGGAAGTTTTATTTATTAAGACAGCAGTAATGAATTGTTCCATTTTAGTTTAGAACATAGTAATACGAGTTGTTCCTAATACACTTTCTATATTTCTTGTGATGGATCCTTCTGATCTTATTTAACAGGAAAGTACTTTCTAATAGAGGAAAGTAAGAGGTATTACAGAACAGTCATTGTTGAAACCATGAACAAAGCAATGAATATTATTACTGTGATTTTCTAAGAAACTGATACTCAGTCATTGCAAAGAAATAAAATGTAATCGATTTCTGTAATAAAGATCAATACCATCATCAAATTCCAAAATCTCTTTTAATCTCCCCACAGGGTCTGTTAACTGTATCATATGCACACAGGTGTCAAAAATGCTACTGACTAAAATGTAACCTTTTCAAAACGCTAGCACCAGGTTCACTGGAAAGAGGGCACAGGCGAACTGTAAGTTTATAAACATTAAACCATTGGTACCTATCAATCTCAGCATATCAAATCAAAAAGGAAGGCATGAAAATTTATAATAGGAGAAATCAGTCACATATTCTAAGACGTGGGGTCCTGACAGGTGCCTCACAGTCCAGGGCAGAGCTAAGAAGCACAACGTTGGTTGACAGATACTACAGTGTCACCTTAAAATTTTTCCTTTATTTCTGGGATATGAGTTTATGCCATACTGCTCTTTGCTTCTCTATAAACAAGTAACCAACAATTTATCTTATTATTAGCCACTGGTCTAAAATTAATGATGACTTAAGTATCTGAATACATACCAACTCCCCTAAGTATAGTAAAGTTTCAGCTAAAACTTAACATTAACATATCTGGTTTTCTTCAATGCTTTTAGTTCTTTCCAGAGAATCAGCTTAACTTCAAAGACCAGGTATTTCCCATTCAATTCAGGAATTCTGTGATTTAAAAAGCACATTCAGCTTCCTAACTTAAACACAGCACTCACAGAATACGGCACTCAAAGTACTGCCTGGGTAAGTTATTAACACAAGTTTTACCCATTCAGCTGTTCCCCAGTAAGAATCACTAGTACGAGTATACCAAGTAGCAACTGCCTCTAAAGAAAACCAAGGAACAATTTAGCTTCAGAATGAAAAGATCTGGATAGAGAAGAAAAGTAGACAATAAAACAGATAATTTAACTACTGTTATTCACAATATAGCAAAGAAAAAATCAGAAGTTACACACTTCAAAAAAGGGGTTGCAGGGTGATAGGCCAAAGACAAAATACTGGCATGCTGGAATTTTTTTTTTTTTTAAACTTAGTATCTGTACAGGAACAAGGGACACTTCACATTTAACACACTGTCAATATGTACTGAGGTCACCTCAGGATAGATCCAACTGCAAGAAAATGGCCCCAATGAACCAGAAGATTTCCTGCAACTAACGAACTGTACTCACAATTAATAAGCAACATTTATCTCTGTGCAGTTTACAAAGTTCTCAATAATCTGATTTATATGGAAACTTGCTCTGTGGAAAAAATAAGATGGTTTGGGTATTACTGATGCATAATATGGATTATCAATCAGATACGAAATTCAATTATTCTTGAATTTTTAGAAAGAGTTTCATGCTTTGTTTGAATGTAGTAGCTCATTGTTAGGAAATTTCCTTTCTTCAACTCTCCAACTTAGTATATAAAATTAGGTAATATTTACATTTAATTTATTGTCTTTTTCATTTAAGAAATATCTCTTAGTCTTGCTATATAGGAAGTTAATTTAAACGACTGCTCTTAAACTTCATTATACCCAAACTTAGAAAGTAAAATAAGCTTTGAAAAGGAATATGCCATTTTCATGAATACATTTTTAACCTGAAATCTTTTCAAAATACATATTGCAAATATGCTGACGGTGCCACACCCTCAGGCATTTGGGGCTACGTTCTAATACAGTGTTTAGTGGGTGAGAACTGAAATAACAGTATAACATTTAAAAGAAGTATAAGACTTGCACTAAGAAACCAAAACCCATATAGCATGCAAGTTAACATGGCCTTTTAAATGTTGTTCCGCTATCACAAAAAAGATCAGTTATAGAAACCATTATTTATATTTCAATCACAAACACTGCTCTTAAAATACAATCTATATCAGATTTATAACCAGATCTGAAAGAGATTAAGATGAGGCTTAGTCTAATTTCGCTGGCAAAAAGTCAAAAAGTAAGATAGAATAATCTTACTATCTCTTATACATTCTGGCAACAACAACAAAACCCAAAGAGCCAGATCAAAGTAAAACGAGGAGTCAAAATTGGCAATAAACCCATTATGAAGAGTGGCACTAAAGTGAAATTTCAGAACATATTGCTTTCTAAATATAAGTGCGATCTTATTGGAAAACATGTTATTTACAAAGATTCTAGAAAGCTACCACCAACTTGGTGTCTAGGTTTTTGATCTTTATTTTGCCTCCATAATATTCATTTGTCAGTAGTTTCAAGCTACGTACTTAAATATACCTAATGTGATTTTATATCCTACTTACACTATACTGTGTCCATGTACAGATTTACAAATATTGTAAGCCACATTACGTAGAATATATAATATTTTCCAGAGTAGCAACTTTGACTTTGAATAAAAACCAGAGTATCTCGGCTATAAAAACATTTTCTTTTCAATTTCTAAATTCTTTTAAGGAATCACTGATGGAAACTGAACTTAAAGTAAAAAAATGCTAACCTCTGTCAATTTTAACAAAAAGGGGACTGCTATAAACAGATTTTAAGTAAATACTGTTCTAGACAAATACAATAATCAAATAGCACTCGACACAAATAAACACTGAACTTTCTTCTACAGCACAGGGCTCCCACTGTGGCAGCTGCCGCACAGGACCCTATGAGAATCAGAGGCTGAGCGAGAGACCGAGAATACGGTACAAACAAGGAAAAGAACATAAGCTTAGGAAATTAAAAAGTCCATGAGTAAATCGTATCTGAAAATCAACTTCCAGGAGAATATTAATAGGTAATTACTATAGCCAAAGTTAATCTCTGCCTTCAAGAACGGAAGACAACAAAACAATTCTCACCATAACAATATACCAGTAGTAGAAAAAAATGAATCATTCACAGAATATTCTATGAGGCTTCTCCTGGGGCGGGGGCGGGGAGTGGGCATGTGTCTATGTGTTAAAGCTTACAAAATTAAAAATGTGAAACAAAATGGATTCGTATTAAGATTTCATGATAACAGAAAAAAAATTAAGGAAAGAATATTTTCCTTGAGGGAAGAGTACTTCCCATAACTGGTTTAAAAAGCACCTATGAAATCATGCTGTCCGTGGTCACAACTGAGGTTTTGGATGCTTTTGTCAATTGCAGCATAACTAAAGGCATTTCACAGCATAACTTTAGGGAAAATGTTATCTGGTCTAGAATCACACAAAAAGCAATGAAAAATTCTTTGAATTGCTTCTAAAACACCAATTTTTCTGGGTAGCAGCAGTTGCTCCTGTACATGCCCTTTCAAAAAATATGAAACAGAAGCCGAAATAGGGGAAAAATTTGAGAATAAGAGTAGCAGCATTAAATAGAAAAGCAAATATTTAAATACAGTTTAAAATAAGGAAACAGTACTGTGCAACTTTCAATTATACCAAGTAAAGTGCACTGCTTAAATGTTCACTGATAACATTTTCCCTGTATGATGAAAATATGAAATCTACTTATTGGTATCTTTTTATATTAAAAAAAAAAGACATTCACTATTGTAGCCCTGATTGCTCTCTTCCAGTATTTTTTAACCATTCAAATGTATTTTGTGGGAATATTTATTCACATAATTTTGCTTAATACATTTCCTTCTACACAAGACTGAATTTAAAAGTCTCTATAACATTTTCAATTACAGTAATAACACATTAATAAATTATAAATTAACAAAATCTTCATATTTGCTTTAAAAAATCATTTTTCAAACACTAACCTCCAGATTATCTGGAAAATTAAAGATGCAAATTGCTATAAATCTGGCATCCCGATTAAATTGATTTTTAGAAGTATATAAAATGTCCCTCAAATTATTCCAAGTTCCATGCAAGAAAATTTTATTTTACCCTTTTCATAAGTTACTAAGTTTACAACCTGCTAAACATTCTACCCAAATGTGGGAAAACTTTCTGGAGATGCAAAGCACAATAAAATAATTACATGAAAAGAACAAATAAAAATACCCGTTAAAACAAAGTTATTATAGCTGGCAGCACTTAAAATTCGTAATTTGTATTTTTTTTTTTTTAAAAGTTGCATAGCTGCAAGATGATTCATTACTGATTATTGAGCAGTTTTACTTAAGAGGAAATAATACATTTAATAAATCGCAATTCGATTTAGTTCATTAAAATGTAATTATGTAACTTGATTTACTCTTTGGACTGCTTTCTGGTACTGTTACACCTTTCATTTCAAATATTAACATACTTTAGCTCTCCTATGTATAAGTCTATTTTCCACTCTTGGGGGGAAAAAAATAGAAGAACTTGAGATCATGGTCTACATTCAGACAATGTTTTACTGCTTGATTACATTTCTTGGTTTCACATTTAAGACTTTAATTTATAAGAAGTACATTATGTGGTCTTCAGTTTTAGATGAATGCAGAAACATCGTGTTGGGGAAAATAAAGTGACCCCCAACTAAAAAACAAGTCAAAACACAACTGGTTGCGTGGCTCTACAGAACTTAATAAAATCAACTTCTAAATCAGTTAACTTTGGCGTCTGAATACAAAATATTTATCAGTGTTACCTATGTAGATGACTATTAAGGGATGTGCAGCATTTTCAAAGTCCCTGTGTGTCCTTTGTACGCATGTTTGGTACACTGAGTTCTGTGGCGACTGTCCTCTCTTCAGCAGGGTTACCCCCTGTATGATTGTCCATCTCTGCATTACCAAGGCTCACAGAACTCAGATTTCTGGCTGAATATGCCTGCAGTTTTGTTTTTCTTTTTCCAGAGACAGATCCTCATATCCTCTCAGTTTTTCAAGCATCTTGGAAAGACAATAAAACCTGTGTAGAAGCAGATGTATAAGATTTAAGCAGTGGTCCATAATACTAATACAAATCAAAATACAACACCCATTTCCCAGGAACACTGCTTTACATTGCTATGCATTTTCATTGCTATGCATTTTCATATACTTACTATTCAAAAACTCCTAAAATTAGTATTCTGCAAAAGAACACATAAAGGACAGAAGGACCAATTAAAGCTTAAAACAGTCACAAAAATTAGCCACCACGTAACAGTCATTCTCCCTCCACAATAAAGACCACACCGAAGTACAGAAAACACACAACACGTAACACCTACACACCTATTAACCTTCCCCTAAATAACTAATAACCTCCAATAAAAATAGTTAACAATTTCCTAACTAATCAAAACCTTAGATTGTTATGTATATCTATTTTGGACTGTCCATTAAATTCTTAGGCTGAAGAACATCAGAAATGCTGTATGTCTGCTATATGTTGTTTTTTTGTTTGTTTGTTTTAAAGTTTTAACAGCCAGGACGCCTGGGTGGCTCAGTTGGCTATGAATCTGCCTTCGGCTCAGATCATGATCCCAGGGTCCTGGGATCGAGTCCCACCATCAGGCTCAGGGAGCCTGCTTCTGCCTCTGCCTGCCGCTCCCCCTGCTTGTGCGCTCTCTGACAAATAAATAAAATCTTTAAAAATAAATAAATAAATGTTTTAACAATAAATTCTCTTCAAACCCACACGTTTAATCTAAGATAGCAAAAGGGATGGGAGGAATTTATCATTTGACAAATCAGAGCAGTCAGCACAGAAGCAAAAATTTAAGATATTCCATGTCTGTACATTTGTAAAAATGACTCAAGACCCATAGAGACAAATTCCATTGATTTTTAAAAAATTTTTTTAATTATTATTTTTTTAAGATTTTATTTATTAAAGAGAATGAGAGAGACAGAGAGAGAGCATGAGAGCAGGGAGGGTCAGAGGGAGAAGAAGACTCCCCGCCGAACAGGGAGCCCGATGTGGGACTCAATCCTGAGACTCCAGGATCATGACTCCATGATCAAGGCAGTCGCTTAACCAACTGAGCCACCCAGGCGCCCCAGATTTTAATTTTTTAAGTTATTTATTTATTTATTTATTTATTTATTTATTTGAGAGAGAGAGAGAGAGAAAAACAGCATGAGAGGGGAGAGGGTCAGAGGGAGAAGCAGGCTCTCCACTGAGCCGGGAGCCCAATGTGGGACTCGATCCCAGGATTCCGGGATCATGACCTGAACCGAAAGCAGTCGCTTAACCAACTGAGCCACCCAGGTGCCCCAGATTCCATTGATTTATAAGATTTGTAAGGGCAGCTGCCACTAAACTAAGGTTCTATATAAAAAAAAATCAATAAAAAGATAACACTGATACATAAGTAAGGAAACTGAAACACTGTTTAAGACCAACATGTATATTGACTATGAGATGAAACACATGTTCCTTATACCCCATAAGCTCATTGTAACACTAAAGGAAAAATTTAGCTGATTGGATCATGAAATAAAAACATTTTTATGACCATAAAATCCCATCTCACATAAAAAAGTTTACTGCCTCTAAAAGACACGTTTTATCGATAGGTGAAAACTTTAGACATTATTATCTTGGTATGTAAAATACTAAGATAAAAATTTCATTTTATTAGCACGAGTTTTTAGTACTTCTCTTTAAATGCTTCTATAATTTGAGCCGTATTTTTAGTTTATTGGCCCAGACATACGGTTACAGCGAAGATATTCCAAAGCATCCTCTTCAAAACACCTGTTCACCATGAAATAAAAACATACCTGCACATATACTCAAAATATCACTCCATCGACACTCTTCTTTTATACAGAAATCTTATCCCAATTCATACTTCCAGTGTGTCAAGGTCTGCTCTGAATCACCTCATGGGAAAAGGTTCAAAAGCTGACAGTCTGGGGCGCCTGGGTGGCTCAGTCGTTAAGCGTCTGCCTTCAGCTCAGGTCATGGTCCCAGGGTCCTGGGATCGAGCCCCACATCAAGCTCCCTGCTGCCAGTTCTTCTCCCTCTCCCTCTCCCCCTGCTTGTGTTTCCTCTCTCGCTGTGTCTCTGTCAAATAACTAAGTAAAATCTTAAAAAAAAAGCTGACAGTCTTCTCATACCCTCCAGCTTCCCAAGGAGTTCCCATTTCCCACGCAGAACCCTACTGTAATTGTGACAGAGGTCTCACTTCGTGCTGCATTTCTTACTTCAGTTGCTATAACGGCTATTCAGTAATCTCAAATCTCCTCTCTCAATACTCTAATCTGCTGCTATTGAATTATCCTTATTAAGGGCAATGATCTGTTTCAGTTTCCTATCTTTAGTCTCAGCCATTCAGAAAAGACTGTTGGCGGTTACCGTCTTAGGTCTCTGAACACAGAGATTCCAACTCCTGAAACAATTCCTGGATTGGCTAAAATGTTCTGCCTGGATGTAAAAACCCAGTGCTTTATGTCATTTCTGCAAGTCTTCTCATAAAAAGCTTTTCATATATATGAAGATATCAATTAAATTAACTACTTTTTCAAAGCTAAATGATGTCATTTAACTCACTTCATGGAATATGGAGAAAACAATAGTCAAGTGAGTTTATCATTCAATTCACTGAACAATTTCAGATAATGCAGGATAAGCAGCTAAATCAGCAGAGCAAAACAAATTCTGTATTTGGTTTAAAATTCATCTTTTTTTTTTTTTCGCTTTTCCTCCTACTGTATAGACAGGCACTATATAACATGCTGAGAATACTAAGGTGCAAGATTAAACTGAATGAATGAGTACATGATGCAACTTTTTGAAGAAAATGCTCCTACCTAATTATAGCAAAATAGGTAAGAACACAATCTTTGCAGCCAATATGCCTGGGTTCAAGTCCCAGTTCTACCAAGGAACTAGCTTGACTAGTCAAGTTCCGTAACCTCTAACTTTGTTTCCTCATCTGTATAGTGGGAAAAGGAATAGCAAGAGTCCTGAGCTCAAAGGGTTGTTACAACAATTAGATGAGTTAGTAATAGATGTAAAATGCTTAGAACAATGCCTGGCACATAATAATGCAACATGAATGTTAACTAATTATTATGATTAGAATTATAATATTATGTTGCATTACTTAAGAACATACCTGTCAAGTTTGGAATAAGAGTACAGAATTTGATTCTGTTTACTAAATGCATGCCTTGGACTATTGTGCATACTGCTTCTTAAAGTCATGAAATTAATTACTTTGGCCTTCAGATTTCTTAGTGGTAAAACAGGGTAATATCTACTGATATTTACATATGTGCAGTACATGTATGAAGTTTATACAAACCATATACTTCACGGGTTTAAGCACTAAAATTAAATGTGTTTTAAAGTACTAAGAATGGAGAAGTTACTCAATATATGACTTTCTTCTGGAATCAATAAAGTTGTTTTCTATGTATCTTTTCATGTGAGTTTTTTGCACAGTAACCTAACACAATGTCTGGGACACAGACACACACACACGCTTCAATAAGTAAATGAATGAATTAAAATGGTGGCTGAGAATGTATAACTCAAGTAACAAGCTTAAAAGCAATTAAAACAGAAAAAGGGAGAATTACCTATAAAACAGGAAGCGGATGCTTAATCTGAAGGGTGCTCAGGGCAAGATCTATTTACTTCAAACCATTCATCTATGCAGCTAGAAAAGAACAAAACCAGAAAAACTGAAACACTTATTGTTTAATTATTGATATCATGACAGCCATAATAAAAATTCTTACTTCTTAACCTTAATATATATTTACAGGAAAAAAATTTCAATATTTTAAATGAGTATATTTGGCATATGTAAGTAAAAGATAAGGATCTGTTTATTACATTTTTATTTTTTATTTTTTTGGAATCTCTACACCCAACGTGGGGCTAACCTCATGACCCTAAGATCAAGTGGCATGCTCTTCTGACTGAGCCAGCCAGACATCCCACATTTTGATTATTCAACGCAGTTAAGGAAATAACCTTTGCAAAATTATGCTATAAAGTACTTTAAAGTTGTAGAACAACCATTACCAAGAGAATCTAAAGAACTAACACTTTACTAATATTCAAAATTAAGTGACAAATCTGGATATTTTTCTCCTCAAAATATTCATTCATGCAAATACAATCTGTTCATGTACCTATCAATGTAATCAAAAACAGCTTTTAAATTCTAATTCTTGACAGTACTGCATCTTTTAAAAGACTATATTTCAATACTCACATATAAATATAGCCTTTTAATTCTATCCCACTCTACAATACATATACATACACAAATAAAAATACTATCATCCAATTGCATTTATATTTTGTGATTTTATTAGAAGTTAAATATTAGGGCGCATATAATCTCCTCATTATAGATCTGCACTGTTCAATGCAGTAGCCACAAGCCATGTGTGGCTATTTAAATTCATTATGATTAAATAAAAGAAAAATGCAGTTCCTCGGTCACACTACCACATTTCAAGTGCTCAAAATCCACATGCATGGCTATTGGCTATTCTACTAGACACACAGATACGAAACATTTTCATCACTGCAGAAAGTTTTAGTTCACTGTGATAAGTGGTAAGGCCTTGATAAGGTTAAGTAACTTGTCCAACAGCTAGAAAGTTACCCAAGCAGAATTCAAACTGCTCAACATTCTCATTGTTGACAAATGTCAAATGTGCATATGCCACAAAGCTAGAAGGCTTGGCTAATATGCTTACAGGCAAAATTATTATGTATCCTTCTCATATCCTGATAGGATAGTTTGGTGGGTAAAAATAATGGTGAAATTAAAAGGAAAAAAGGTAAAGTATCTCATCCACACAATATTCTTTCAAATATCTAAAATAATTTCTGTTGCTATTAAGACTTTTATTGTCTAAATAATCATGCCCAAATTGGCTTCTCAGCCTGCTCTCTATCCTACTTACTTGGCTCTAGTGGTCCTCTGGTCTACTGAAACATCCCTTAAAATGAAGTACTGAACCGGGGCGCATGGGTGGCTCAGTTGGTTGAGTGTCCAACTCTTGATTTCAGCTCAGGTCATGGTCTCAGGGTTGTGAGACCGAGCCCCACGTGGGGCTCTCTCTTTCCCCCTCTCCCTCTACCCTACCCCCCCACCAAAAAAAAGAAGTACTGAACAAAATACTCGATATATTAACAATTCCCAGTACCTATGTGATTTAAAATGGGTATTTATTTTACAAGCCATGTAATCTTGATTCACACTGAGAAATTATCATTGTAATATTCCATAAATACAAACATGTTGCAATTTATGTGTCCATCCCTTTACGATGGACACTTTCAGTGATGCTAGAACATTCTTATACATGTCTCTTAGAACTGTGCTACTCGAAGAGTGGCCCACAAACACAGTGCTAATCCATGAGCTGTTTGTTACCAGTTCTCAATGAAATAAGGGGCTTTTGAGCCAGAACACCCATTTATTTTGCTTCTAACCACACTGTTTTAACTTTTTAAAAAAAATTTTAAATCACTGCAAGTCTTCCTCAATGAAGACAGTATTATATTGATTTACATTCTGGCGCAAGCTCCTTTATTTCATCCTGGACCTGCCACAATGAGTAGCAGCACCGTCCTAGAGCACAAGATCAAGAATTCCTCCAGGGCTTATATTTTAGAGTGGAAGGACTGAACTGTAGAATATACACAGTACACAGCTATGACAGAGCTATTCACCAAGTATACCAACTTACATTTGTATGTTTACTGGCCATTTGGGTTTTTTTTTTTTTTTCTGGATTGACTTAACAACTTTTGACAAATTTTCTATTTTGTCTTTTTCTTATAGGTTTATAGGAAGTTATTATCCAAATACTTCAGCTATAATATAGTACACACATTTTTGATGATCCTTGCTTTTTACAAAATCATGCACTAAAACTAACAGGGCTTATGGGAAAACCCATGTTAAAGGCAGACCACTCAAACAATACAACCTTGTAACCAGAACAAAGCTGTGTTTGTTCCAGATAAATAAAATACCACTGTAAATACAGGATTTTTTTTAAAAAGGGTTAAATTAGCTTGACATAAAGAGTACTAAGGAAGGGGGAGCCTGGCTGGCTCAGTCAGTGGAGCAGGGGACTCTTGATCTCTGGGTTGTGAGTTAAAGCCCCATGTTGGGTATAGAGATAACTTTAAAAAGAGGACTAAGGAAGGATTAATACTGGTATGAGGACAAAAGCCTAATGCACAAAATTTGAGAATTATGAATGAAGCAAGCAAGCACTTCCAAAATAAAGCCTGTGGTCCAACTAAACTGGGTATAAGAATGTTCAGTGGATGGGTATTCTTATAGTATCAGGAACACCTCATATCCTGGGGTTCAGTTCTAGACCACTGCAATAAAGTAAATATCGCAATGAGTCAAATTTTTTGGTTTTCCAGTGCATATCAAAGTTATGTTCACACTGTACTAAGTGTGCAAAAGCATTATGTCTTAAATATATATACACACACATAATTATAAGAAACAGGGCAGAGGACCATTGGGAAAGGGAGGGAAAACTGAATGGGAAGTCATCAGAAAGGGAGACAAACCATGAGAGACTCTTAACTAAGGGAAACAAACTGAGGTGAGTGGGGGGATGGGGTAACCAGGTGATGGGCATTAAGGAGGGCACGTGCTGTGATGAGCACTGGGTGTTATACACAACTGATCAATTACTGAACTCTACATCTGAAACTAATGAGGTACTATATGTTGGTTAACTGAATTTAAATTACAAGAAAAAAAGAAAAAATATATAATTAAATTACCTATATTTGTAATAAATTTATCTAATAATTTAATTAAAAATACTTTATTGCTAAAATAGGCTAACTACCATCTGAGTTTTTAGTGAGTCATAATCACTGTTCAGAGATCACCATAACAAATAACTAATGAAGTTTGAAATATTGTGAGAATTACCAAAATGTGACACAGAGACACAAAGTATGCAAACGCTGTTGGGAAAATAGTGCCAATAGACTTGCTCTATGCAGGGTTGTGAGAAACCTTAAATTTGCTTAAAAAGAAAAAAGGGGGGGGGCTGTATCTGTGAAACGCAATACAATGAAGCACAATGAAACAAGGTATATCTACACTGTATTCTCCCACGGCCTGTTTCCATATATATATACACTTTCGTCTGTTTTTATTTGATGGAGCAAACACTAATGTGCTGAGAAATATTCTTTATGAACCAGTACAATCACCTCATTACACTGTCACTGTTCTTCCACTTACCAACTGCAATGAGCTAACTGCATTACAGAAAGCTGAAGAAGCTCGTTTCAGATACCATACCAACAAACTGTTGTTACGTGTACTGAAAAGAACTCAGCCTGAGGTCTAATTTTCTTTTACTTTTTCACAAATTCATGATGCAAAAAAGTTTTAAATTTTAATACAGTTAAATTTATCGACTTTTCTTTCGAAGTTGATGGGGGGGTATGTTAGCCCTAAAAATATCTCTTACCAAGAGGTCAAGAACATTTCTCTACATTCTTTCCGACACTTGTAAAGATTTTGATTTCCAAAGGCACATGATTAGTCAAATGGGAACTGATTATTTCAACTATAAAATTTTTCTACATCAATAACCAACTGATCTCAGTACCATTCACTGAATTGTTCATTCTTTCTTACTACTGTAATACCACCTCTGCCAAATCAATTTTTTTATTTACTTAACAAATATTTACATAGTATCCGTTATGTGCAAGCACTTTCTAAAATTTCACTCATTTAAAACTTCCTAACAACTCTATGAAGTTGGTACTATCGCCTCATTTTATAGACTGAGGGAGGGAAAAACTAACTACAACTTGACCAAGATCACACAATGAATTAGTGGAGGGGCTGGGATTTGAATCTTGGGAGGAAGGCTTAACTTCCAAGAATCCATGCTTTTAACAACCCGGTGCTATGCTGTCTCTCATAAGCGCACAAGTGTTTATGGACTCTATTCCTATGCCCTTCCCACACTTGTCTTAATAATAATCTTATAATGTATTTGTACAGGGCAAGTCCCCCCAGCAGTTCTCTTCTTCGTGAGTATGACTGTTCTTGCCACATGGGCTCTTTGGTCCATGTGTATTTCAGAATCCACTTATAAAATTACATGAAAAAACTAGTTGAGATTTGAATGGGACAATATTAACTATGTAATTTGGGGTTAAGTGACATCTTTATGACATGGAATCTTTCCATCCCCAAGATGGTATACCTCAAATTTTAGATCTTCTGTATCTTTCAGCGAAGTTTTAAAATCTTGAGCATCTTTTGTAGGACGTATTCTTAACACAGCTTACAGCTATTGTAGGTTTTGTGGCTGTTAATGTTATTATTCTATAAAAAAAAAAGTTGTATTTTCTTTTTTCTTACTGGGATACGAATGCAACTAATTTTCATGTTGAGCTCCTATCTGGCAACCCTGCTAAGTTCTTAATCCCTAAGAAAGAGAGCAAAAGAGAGAGCATGCACGTATGTGCGCAGAGGGGGAGGGACAGAGAGAGAGAATCTTAAGCAGGATCTCAGGGAGGCCTGATCTCATGACCCTGAGATCATGACCTGAGCCGAAATCCAGAACTGGATGCTTAACCGACTGAGCCACCCAGGTGCCCCAGTTCTTATTAATTTTTTTCTAAAGATTTTATTTATTTATTTGAGAGAGACAGAGAGAGTGAGCAAGTGAGCATGAGTCAGGGGAGGGGCAGAGGGAGAGCCCTCTGAGTGGGGAGCCCAACAAGGGTCAGGCCCTGAGATCATGACCTCAGCTGAAGTCAAGACACTCAGCCAACCAAGTCACCCAGGCACCGCTCTTATTAATTTTAATAATTTATCTAACATCTACTCTTCGCTTTTGTTTTGAAATCAATTCGTAAGTATAGAGTTTTACTGTTTTCTCACATTTATTGAGATAATATGGTCTTTCTCCTTTGTTAATGTGGTGTACTACATATATAAATTTTCTAATCTTACAGTGTCTTTACATTCCTAATAGTCATGAGGCATTACTTCAGATATATATTGATGAATTTGGTTTGCTAATGTGTTTGGATTTTTTGCATTTATGTTCATGAATAAGAGTGCCTTCTAATTTACTTTCCTATACTTGCCTTGTCTGATTTTATTTATTTATTTTTTTTAAAGATGTTATTTGTCAGGGAGAAAGAGCCAGCAAGCACAAGCAGGGGGATCGGCAGGCAGAGGGAGAAGCAGGCTCCCCGCTGAGCAAGGAGCCCAATGCGTGACTTTACCCCACGACCCCGGGATCATGACCTAGGCCAAAGGCAGATGCTTAACCGACTGAGCCACCCAGGCTTGTCTACCTTGTCTGATTTTAATATCAAGTTTATACCATTTCATAAAATCAGTGGGAGAACCTACAATCTTTTCCTACTATTTAGAGTGTTTACAATTGTTAACATGGTGTTCTTTGATGTCTGGTAGAACCTGCTGTCAAACCATCTTTGTAGGCCTGTTTTTAGGTTTTTGGGTCTTGTTTTAATTTTTAATATTTGTTGTTTTTCAAGGTTCGTCTTAATAACTACTTGTAACAGTTATTAGTCAACTCAGGTTTTCTATTTCTTCTTGAATCATTTTGGTAATCACTACATATCATAATATACCATTAATAATATATAATAAATATATTTATATATTATAAAATATATAATGAATTGGAAAGATAATATTCTTAAAGAAACTGCCTGTTTTGTTTATATTTTTAAATCAAAGGTGTAAAATTTTTCACAAAATTTTCCAATTATTTTTAATTTCTGTGTCTGAAGTTATGTGTTATTCCTATACTGTTCACTTTTTCCTTCTAGAGACAATCCTGCCAGAGGCCTATCATTTTATTTGTCTTTAAAGAACCAACTTTTGGCTTTGTTGGCCTCTAGTGTGTAATTTTTTCATTTCATTTTCTTCTCTCATCTTTATTATTTTTTTGCTCTATTTTGTGTTTCTTCATTTTTCTAATTTCTTAAGGAAGAATTTGTTTAATGAGTTCCAGTCTTTCTTTCCACTCTAACACAAGCCTTCCAAGGATCACTCTAGAAAATGTCAAAAGGGTTTTTCATTATTATTCAGTTTTGAGTATTTCTAAGATCCATTATGATTTCTTTTCTTTTTGGGGGGTGGGTGGGGAGTGGGGAGAGAATCCTAAGAAGGCTCCACTCCCAGTGTGGAGCCTGACAGGGGGCTTGATCTCAAGACCCCGAGATTCTGAACTAAGCCAAAATCAAGAGTCAGACACTTAGCCAAATGAGCCACCCAGACACCCCTCCATTATATTTCTTCTTTAATCTACAAATTACTTAAAAGTATGTGTGAAGATTATTCATCTTTTATTACTGACATATAATTGGCCAGAGAACAGCTAGCTTTCTGTATGGCACCAATTTTTTGTAGTTTGCTAAAACTTGCTTTATTGCCCAGTACACCATCAATTTCTGTGTATTTCACATGTGCTTGAAAAGAAAATGTACTAATTGCTAGGGGCAGACATACATACATCCATTAGACAGACCTGTTAACTGTACTGCTTGATTGTTCTAGGTCTTGACTCATTTTGTGTTTATCTGCTTGACTCAATGAGAACTATGTTGAAATTTCCCATTATCACGACATTTTTGTCTATTTTTTTCTGACAATTCTATAAATATTTTACCTTGAGACTGTTCTTAGGTTCACCAAAAACTGAATTTTATATAGCTTTATCATATCATACTAGTAATATTTTTGTTAAAATTTATTTTGTCTGATATTAATTTAGCTTTGTCAGTTGCTCGTAGTTAGTATTTACCCAGACATAATTTTCTATTCCTTCACTTTCACATTTTTTTATCTCCTTATGTTTAAGCGTTTGCTCAGCAACAGCATATCTTTCAGTCTGCTGTCAACTGATGAGTTTTATTTAGATTTATTAAAATTACTGATATTGTATTTATTTTGCCTCCTTATTTTGTTTTATTGTGTTCTCTATGATTTTCCCCACACCCACCTTTAAATAAAATTCTACCTTATTCCTTTTATTGGTTTAAAATGTTATAGTTTTCCATTTTTTTCTGTTAACCTTAAATTTTTTTTTTTTACCTAAAAATTGTCCTGTGTTGCTCTGAAACTAAGAATACTTTATGAGAATCTAGATGGATGTTAGAGTCAGACATGGCTAAAATCTCAGCTCTTCCATTTACTAGCCATGCGACCTTGGAGAGACTTCCTATGGTCCCTCGGCTTATTCCCTCAATTACAGAATGAGACCGTTACAAGGTTTACATGAGGTAACCTGGCTAAGCTGTTACGGACAACACCTGGGTAGCAGGAGATGTTTAACAAATGGCAGATTTTTGGATACAAACAGATTTGGGCTTTAATCTTAGTTCTAGCAGGTAAAAAGGGCTGTTATTTGTTTAAGAAACAGGGGAAGGGAGTTTCAATTAAGAAGAAAACTTTTCAGCCCTAAGGACAATGTTTGAAATTTTGAGAAGCATCGCTTACTCTACTATCAACTTGGTTAACATAAAAAGAAACTTACCCTTTATGATATATGCATAGACAAGGCAGTCGTGCTATAGTATCGCCCTGCTGCAATTCTTCAAGGCATATTGCACATTCCCCAGCATCTTTACTCAGTACATCCTCTGAGGAAAGAGAAAATGAATTCAGGACAATAAAACTGAAAGACAAATTACAGGAACACTAATTTATAAAGACTGGCATATTTTGTCAGAAATACATAAAACTCAGCACCCATATTTGAAATACTATTCATAAGTCAGTGAATAATATTTACCTTTACTCATAGACAGCATCTTATTTCCATTTACATCTCACTGAGGCATTACAGTAAGCAAGAACAGTGCAGAATCCTCCGACTTGCAAAGGATTTTGCTATAAAACTTCATCAGCAAGTCAGTTATTTGCAATTTGTAATTCATTTTCCTTCTCTTACTAATCAATATTAATTTGATGCCCAGGATAGTTCAAAAAAATTTAGACTGTAATGTGGCTGAAAAGACATGAAAATACTATTATAATTTTTAAAATTCTAAAATAACAAAATTGGATAAGTTAAAGAAATCACCCTGAATATGGGATTTCTTAAAAAGGTCTGCTTAATTCAAGAAAATCCAAAGGTAGATTAAAGTTTTGTGTAGATTCTGAAAGGGACTTCTGCAAACCTGAGGATTTCAGACAGGCAACAATTCTTCTTAATCCTTTTCCAGAACAATACCCAGCCGACACCAGGCAGCAATTAATTAGACTGGCTTCCAGAGGGCCCTGCACAGTGTTTAAAATACTGCTATGGTAAAACCCTTTACAAAGTGGAAATTCCTTTTTTGGGGGAAAAAAAAGGTTCTTTCAATTTATGTTTTATACTGAATATTTAAATATTTTATTAATGTTAAAGCTTAATTTTTTAAAAGGATCTTGCCTAAAACAGAGATGTTAGCCAGATAAAATGACGAAGAACTAAAACATGCCATTGCTGTAAAGTTTGGAGAAACTGCCAAATGTATGAGAATGTATACTCAGTAAGTGTTGAGAATGGAAAACTAAAGCAGGAACATGCAATATGAATTTATACCACAAATAACTAAATTACTGTCTGTAGAAATAAAAATCAAATAGGCTAAAGAGAAAAGACTACACCAATTTCTATCTAAATGCTGAAAGACAGTGCAAGGTAGGGAAGTTCCTAAAATTATTTGCCTGGTACTCCCACACCTCTTATAAAAACCAACGAATTTAATTGTGCATTTATCTGTAATCGTTCATTGTAGAAAAATTCATTCTCTAAGAAGTAGTTCGCCCTTCAGTTATTCATATTGAGACAGCACATTAAGAGGAAACACAGACTCTATCGGGTCTATACCAGCAGACAGATGATTTACCCGTAAGGCTGGAGGGGGTAACAGGGCAACCTCTGCGGAAAAAGGCACTGGAATGAAAAATTCATGTGTTCAGAGTCTAGGGAATATGGTTGGGATGACTTTAGCTAACTACTGGGTAGTTCACGAGCTGACATACCACAATCAGAGACTTGGCCAGGATAAGCAAAGCTGGGTAAATGGATAATGTTCTCATTAACAACCCCCCTCTAGTGTCTTATCCCCACTTTTCCCCTCTTCACCCTGGAGGTCCCGTCCACTACCTCCACTCCACCCACCCTGAGCCCAAGTCTTTCTTTCCTTCTCTTGATCTCCATTTTTTTCCTTACTGTTCTGCATAGCTTTCCACAGATGGGAAACCAGTCTAATGTAAAAAAACCTAATTAGTGGTATATTGGAACCCACAAAAGGAGGCCACTCCAGTGGCCCCACCCATGTCACAAATCTAAACCTCAATCATCCTGCACTTACGGAAAACACCTCGCTATCAAGGCAACGTAACACCAGTCACAATCCTCCAACTTGGCTTTAGCTAGCTTACGTTACCCTGGAAAACAGGACCTTCTAGCCAATCATGCCCTGCTTTGGGCTGCCTCTTCGAACATTATATAAAAGTCGCTCTCAAAAAAATACCTTCAGAAGTGCTCGTGAGGCACTGTACTCCCTCAATCTCTGGATTATTTTCCCTTGAATAAAATACAGCAAACTCATTACTGAATTGTTTTAGTTTTGCCATTTGACACTAGGATGACGCAGTGAGAGGACGTGAAGGAGACACTAAAAGGTCTTAGCAAAGGTCTGTAACTCCAAATAATAACGGTATATTCTCACAGCATCTGTTCGCTATCTTTCACCACAAAGATATACCACATCATTAACAGTGAGTCTGAGTTCTACAACAAACTTCAAAAAAATCAACCATCACTTTTTACCAAGCCTAAGACATCAATGATTAGAACATGTACCATTAGTTTGCACATAAATAAAACAAACCCCCCAAAACCCCACCACTGAAATGACACAACTTTAAGATGCATCTCATTTTCCAGAGCTGTTAAAGTATGAAAAGGAAGGGTGTCTTAGAACTGGTGAAACATGGTATCACATTTTCTACCTTTTGGAATACATTAATATTGCATCTAGATTTAAGTCAAAATGAACCATATAATCTCCATTATCTTATATTAAGAAAATGAGATAGGCCAGCTTTTAAAAAATAAGGAAAAAAGCATTGCCATTATTTTTTGCCATATACTACTATGTAACAGATTGTCAGCACCAAATGAAAAGAACTAGAATCATCAAGTATAAGCTTCTGAATGCACTGTTCACAGAAAAATAAGTGTCTTTTAACAATACTTTTATTTTGACCTATGACCAAGTCTCAATTCTTTATTACAAAAGGTTTTTAAAAATCTCTGAGTTGGGAAAATTTTAATATCTTGAAGGTCTTGGTTTTATCCTGTTTTTAAGTAAATTTATTTACAGTACAACAAAGACAAATATACTCTGCATATAATTAACATAATGATATTTATTTTAAGAATATAATGTTATGCTTTGCAAGTACTGTCAAAAAATCATTTTAGTTTGGGTGCCTGGGTGGCTCAGTTGGTTAAGCGACTGCCTTCGGCTCAGGTCATGATCCTGGAGTCCCGGGACCGAGTCCCACATCGGGCTCCCTGCTCAGCAGGGAGTCTGCTTCTCCCTCTGACCCTCTTCCCTCTCGTGCTCTCTATCTCTCATTCTCTCTCTCTCAAATAAATAAATAAAATCTAAAAAAAAAAATCATTTTAGTTTAATCTAAAATGCCATATTAAAGTCAGCCATTTAATCATAAGCTCCCTAAGCCCTAGTAATGAAAAATAATCATAACTATATATTCTATGTTAAGAAAGGTGCACCTATATACAAGAACATTCCAAGCAAATTTCAATGCAGAAGCAGCCTACATTCACTGTAAATAGCTTCTAGAGAAATGATCTCTGCTCAGAAAATTAAGAGGTAAATGTTAACATGTTATAGACAGCCATTACTCAACTGCATTTTGATAAGCAACTCTGAGTCAAAAGACAGTTCACTCACTGCAAAACCCCAGTTACTGTCTCAAATAGCAAATGCATAATTTGAAAATTCACTATGCAACACGGTTCATTTTTGCCTACATGGGGGTTTGCTAGAATGTTCCCCTCTGCCACCCCATTATGACAGTGCCCTTCCATTCAAAGGAAAGTTTTGAGCTTGGTAATGGGAAACATTCAGACTTAAATATGGTTGGGAAAAACCACTAAGTCCAGGATACTGAAGCATCTTCAAGACAGCTGGGGGAAAAAATGTTAAAAATCTTTAGCCAATCAATTGAAAACATTCACAAAGATACTACTATAAGCAATATGGAGTCAACATGTTAGGACTGCAATACATCGAGGACAGACTATTAATAGCCAAAATTGTTATTAAAGAAGAGAAAGGAACACTAACAGATTTAACTTCCATAGTTAGCTAATCTGACTGGATTCTTGCTCTCCACAAGCACTTATAAATGGGGAGGCACTAAAGATAGTGAATAGAAACACTTTTATTGTTTTTTCAAGTGTTGCTGATGTCCTACCTAAATATTTGGAACACTAAAAGTTAAATCAGTGTACTGTTTATCAGTCTCATTTTTTTTTTGTCTTATTCATATGGTGTATGCATTAATTTAGATGTACTGATACAGGAAAAGAAGAACGAAAGCAGGAAGAGAGCAATGATTTCTAACCAGAGGTGGGCACCAGGATCACTTGGGTAGGCATTCTGTCTCAATACAGAAAATAAATTATATATACATGGGCCCCATCCCTAGAGATGCTGAAATATACACCTGTCTCAGAAACACAACTGCTATCAATTGAACAGCATGTCGAAGTAGAAAAAGCGTAAGATTTAAAGTTGAAAATAGGAATCTCCATCCTTTCAGTTAGCTATGTAATCTCCAAAAAGTTGGTCAACTTTGAGTTTCCTTTTACTCTTCATATTAGTATAAAGGTACCCAAAATATTATAGAGATGAAATTTTAAAGAGTTATGTGAAAAGCTTTATAAGTTATCAAAACATTATACAAAATATTCGTTTTTATTACCATTGTTATCAGAAAGCACTTTTCAGACTTCTCCAAAAATAAAGTTGGTCATTTTTCTCTTTTTCTCCTCATTCTGGTATTCTAGCTGTTTCAACTTCACACGGTGTCATAAATAATCCCATGGCCACCAGAAACTTCTACAGAATACTCTTGACCTATTTCTAGAGACCTATTATAGTTTCAAGGGTGTGAACAAGTCCATGCAAACAACATTGCCTAATTTTTACTTCATTCTATATTTAAAAGTACTATAAATGTCCCCTGTTACATATCTTTACATATATTGTTATTTATTTATTAATCCTATGAGGTAACTAATGCTACCTCTTTTTTACAGATAAGGAAACTGAGGCTCAAAGAAGTTAAGTAACTTATCAGAAATTACTAACCTAAGTTAAGTTCTGGGATCAGGATTCAAATTAAGGCTAAGTCGCTGGCCTGTTTATTACATGAATTTTGCTACAAGAGATGGCTACATATTTAGAGGAAGGTATGCTCAAGACTGCTTTATCTTCTGGAGTTATCAAGCTGCTGTCAAAACTGGTATCAGAAATGAGCTTATACTTTACTGCTTACTTCCTTCTATTGGACAGGGAAATAGCCCTGTCCAATTAGAACTGTCTGTGAT